CGCTTTTTTGTGTTATTTGGTAATGAAATTATCCATTGTTATTGAAATCTTCATACCCACAACTTTGATTTACAGTAATCCTCGTCGGATTATCGTCCGAACACCGACGGTAACCCTCAGCCCACAGCCGCAACTGGTGATAGCCCTAAGGTCGTCGTCCTCTGAATGACGTCGCCGTCTTTGGGAGCCTAAATACCTCACCTTCTGTAATTCTGTTGGTTCAAATTTGGGCTCGCCAGGAACTGTCGAAAGAGGGCCAAACAAACCGAGCTGTGTTGCATTTTATGATGAAAGGGTCAATTTGGACATTTCAAGTATTTTCTTATAACTTAGTCTATCAAAGTAAATGATTGACAAATTTTACAATTTTTTTAGTACATGCTGACGTGTAAAGTTGGCTGATAATTTGTCTAATCTTGTCCATGAAAGTAAATGATGCCTGATACTGTAATTATTACACTTAAAATATTTGAAATTTTTCATTCAATTATTAACAATATATCACGATATTTTAATTATTATTAATTCATTTAAGCCATTGATATTCATATATAATAACAAATAAAGACGACCCTGGTTTCTCTCATTCCTCTTCCCCAAATTCGCTTCAGTCGCCATCCAATTCCCCTCGCGTGTCTTACCCGGCGGGCAGTCAGGCCCTTTGCCGACAGATGGCCCTTAGACGCACAACCTTTGCCCTAATTTCTTGCTACCCCTATCAGCTTGCGCCGGTGGTGGCTTACGACCGTTCGAGGGTTAGGTGTCGCCGTATTCAGGTCGCCGATCGAGGTGACGACTTTTCATCCTTTGTGGTCTCGAGTTGGTGTTAGATGGTGGTGGGTTGAGGCTTGGGTGTGGCCCTAGTCGCTCGCGATGTCTGTGGCGGGTCGGAAGAGGCTGAGAAGTGGTGACTTCTGCCCCATGTTCCCATGTTCCTTGGTGTTGGGTGAAGGGGAGGCCGGCGCTGCCAGACCGTGGCCAGTGGTGTTGGCCGGGTCCGAGGTGTGGTGGTGTGGGGCGAGGGGGTGTGGGCTGTTGCTCTTCCAGCTGTGGGTCGCGTTCGTCTTCTTCGAGTAGTTCGGGGTCTCTGGTTTCGGCTTCAGTTAAGCCTTTAGGCAGTTTCGAGAGCATATTTTTGGATTTCGGTCGAGTCTGTTGGGTGGTCGACTTGGGTTCTACTAGTGCTTCGTGCTGGCTTGGAAGGGCCTTTTTATTGTTTTTGTTTAGTTTAGCAACGTGTGTGTTTTGTGTGTCGGTGTTGTTTGTGTTTGGTGTTGTGTTTGGTGTTATGCTGTCTCCCGGGTGGGAGCGTGTATTATCCTAGGGAGATCGTTAATTCTCCCTTATTGGAGCTGTGTTGTCGTTTTGTTTCGTCGTGGGTTTGTCTAGTGTTGCTAGTTTAGGTTTAGGCGATCTTTAGATATGTCCTCCATTTTTTCTCCAGCTTTTTAGCTGGTTCATTCAGCTGGGGGTTGTTCCTATGTTTGTACATTATGTCCTGTTTTATAAAATTTCTATCGTTTTGAAAAAAAAAATTGATATTCAAGATAGGCGCTATCTAAACGATGATAATGAAATTATTTTACATGTTTAATATTTTATTTATTGATATGATCTTAAAATTCTGCTTTATTGATTTTCTAAATAAAATTTGAGAGTTTATTTGACCGTAAGTATCCTATCAAATAAGATAACTGTTTCAATAATATTTATATAATTTTATAAATTTATTAATAACTATAAGTAAAAAAAATTCAAATCAATGTTGTTTGTCCTCGTAACGACCACAAAGTATAGAGATATTTTTTTTTTTAACAAATTAACCTATAAAAAAATAGTTGTGTAATAGTATGAGAGATTAATTGTTTGCAGTAATGTTCCCCTACCCACGGTGGCCACATATTAATATGTTCACCGCGTATGTGGCATGCACACATTGGTGATGTTAGCATGTTCAAAAAAATACATCATCAATGTGTGCATGTCACATAAGCGGTAGACATATTAACATGTGCCCACCGTGGATAGGAGAGCATTACTGTAATTGTTGGATGATTGTTTTGCAGTCTAAATTTCTAATGTACTCAATTTCTTTGCTTAAAACAATATTAGAACAACTTTATGAAATTATACAATAATAAAACTCAATCCATTTTTTTTCATGTCGAATGGAACACCACTTGAGCAACACGATTTAATTTTGACCATTTTGATTATCTATAAACTAATTAAAAATATCTTCAGAATCATGATATACCTATATACGTTGAAAACTAATTAATTGTTATCAAGAAGTTATATCGATATATTACCATTACTCTTCTATCTATTAATCTATACTTATATAAAAAAAAAGACATCATATTTACTAGAATTAGTAGTAAGAAAGTCAAACGAAATTAATGCATTCTATTTTTATCAAGTATTTTATTTAATTATTTTAGTTAATTGTTTTATCTCATAACACCTTTTCAATACAACTTACCATGATTTTTCTATTATGATTAAAAACCAAATTTTACGTTTAAAATCTTGTGAAATTATTATTATTATTTTTATAAAGCACATATTACTTGTTAAAAAATTGTATATATATAATACACATCACAGTACCATGGTAGATGATTTAAATTTTAACCGACCAAACTGCCAATGATTTAAATTTGAACACACCTATGCGTTTGACCAGATGTTTGGATGATTTGAAATTGAGCCCATAAAAAATTATTTAAATTTGAACACACCAAAAATTTTATGTACTTTTTATTTATAAATATATTTTTAATGGCTGTTATATATACTCTTTTAATATATTTGCAATGAATAAAAGTTTGAATGAATAATTTGTAATGTTATTCATAATGTTTGTGACTTATGAGACACAAACACATAACTCCATACATATTTGCCAGAAGGCGGCTTAATAATTTTTTAGACTTAACGTTGATTCACAAAGGTAGAAAATAGATAATAACATATTACTTTTTAGACTTAAACGGACAAGACTGTGAAAATAACTAATTTAATATATTTTTTCCGTGCATCGCATGTGATACGTACTAGTTTGTATTATTATAATAAAGCAGTGTTTTTATTAAAAAAATATGCGAAATACAATGGTAACCAAAACTACTACATAATAAATTTTAATATCCCCCCTATATATTAATACAGAATGCGCTGAGCCTACGTGGCTGCTTCTGGTGCTTCGGAATCCTATGTGGCAAAATTACATGCTTCGTTATTAGGTTTGGGTAAATTTTAATTTAATTCCAAACTAAAAATAATTAGGTTCGGATTACCATAAATATGTTGATTATTTATGGTCATGTTACATGTATTAATTGTATTTTAATATCATTCCTTATTATAACTATTGAATTTTATATATATATTAGAAGTTAATAACTTTTGTATTTTTTATCAGTTTTACATATGTAATATTTCAAATTAATCTTCTTTTGATAAGCTTCGATTTAACATCCATATTGTATGTATAAAAAAAATAATTTATATTTATCTTTATAACAATAATAAAATTATTTTTAATATTAATTAGAAAAATAAAATTATTTATCAACTAATATATTTATATTTCAAGTAGTTATATGATATAAGTTATAAAAACTAATATAATATAACACATGTAAGTCATAAGTAACACATATCATTCTAAAATATATAGTAATATATTTTTTTTTTGTAAGAAAGTAAACTAAATTTAATATAATTTTCTCATTAATTTTAAAATTTAAGAATAATTTTTTAACAAGCACCGTGTAATACACGGGTATTGTACTAGTTTAAGAAAGAATACAAAAAGAAAAAAAAAAAACAATATTGCTACTAAAAATCAAACAGTAAGGTATTCCATGAAAATTTAAATGAATATTACATTGGTATAACTTCCATTAAAAAATTTCATTTGGCTATTCCTATAAAATTAAATTACACTGGAATTACATTCGAACAGAGTATCCAACTTAAAACATTGTAGTGCTTGTGAAGAAAATCAAAACTCTCCTATACTCCACCTAGGCAGAAGATTGCATACATAATATTTTATAGTGCAAAAAGAAACAGAGCTACACAAATAGATCAATCAGAAGCATACATGGCATTTATAGTGCAAAACGAAACAAGAGCTTCACAAATAGATTTGTCGCATAGAACACAATTTATCCATCTGCAGAATGGCCGAGTCATAATTTTTGAACACACTATCAATCTCCAAAATGGCCGAGTGATAATTTATGAACACACTTTATTAAGTCGTGACCCAACTCCAAAAGACAATAACAGCACGAGCATATGTCAGCTAATTCTACTGCCTAGTGAAGAAAAACCTATTTCACCGACTATTTACATTTTTCAACCTAACGAAAGAACCCAATTCATAAGTCGTATTATAGGTGAGGATTTCTATAATATCAATCCGTAACTACATCTCTACTGCATACCATTGGCCAATCTCGAATATCACTTATCAACTAATCCCAACTCCAAAAACGGATTAGTTAATTTGTCATGTTTTATAGCAAAACAAGAAGAAAGAGAAAAAAATATTTAAACACGGGAAGGAGGGAAAGGAGATGATTCACATATAGGACACGAGCCCAATGAGGTGAAGGCACAATCCATCCATACACATGCACTGTCAGCATTCGACAAGAAAGAGCACACTACATCAATAAAGAGGTGAGAAAAAAGAGTGTACTATAAAAGTACAAAGGGCCTCATCACACTAGTAGAACACAATCTATCCAAGAAAAGAAAAATGCTACATGTACCTAATAAATGTACATAGAGGTGTACATAACACTCACATAGAATGAGGTCCACTTGATTTTTTATTTTTGGTCGTCCCACTCAATGTGAGTGTTATGTACACCCCTATGTACATTATTATGTACCTATAGCATTTCTCGAAACGAGAATGTTTCTGTCTCACAAAGAAGCAAGAATTACACAAAGCACATGGTGCCAAAATGCACCTTGCATCAAGAAAAGGATGTCGTTAATTCGGCTTTCTTGTCTTCTAAAAGCTTCAACTCATTGCGCCACCCATCTAATTTTGCCACCTTCTCCAATTGTTCCGGCTTCAGGTCCTTTTCAGAAGCTTTATGCTGTTGTGCTTCAGTCAGCCGAATCTGCAAAAGGTTAAAAAAAAAAAAGATTTCATCATTTATTGTGTTTTGTGTGCAGCTAGGAGGATAATAAACAGAGGCACTGATCTAGTTGATAGCAGGAACAAACAAGCAAAGAGTAAGAGCGCGTTTGTATACAAATATATTTGATCGAAACGAGTTTTTTTAGTTAAACAGTGTTAATTTTGAAAAATGTGTATGGTTAGTTGTAGTTGTTAGTGAGATTTTAATTTTATATTAAAATAATATTTGATATAAAAGTATGAGAGAGATGATGTGAAGTGATGGTTAGTTAAAATTATGTAAGTGAGTGAATAGTGAATTAAAGTGGATGTGATGTGTAAGAATGATAAGTTGATACTATTATTTAATTATACCGATAAGATTAAGAATAATGGAGTTGAGTTAAATTTTTAGTATGAATTGAATATGGACTGAGTTTATTTATATACAAACACACCCCACTAACTTAACTTTCGTTATATTGTAGAGAAGCATGCAGTACAACAGGTTTTGAATTAAGGTTCACAAACAGAGAGGACATGAGTAATATAACTTGGTAGGCCAAAAATAATTCTTCAAATCTACTCGGAAATAAGCTCAACATAGAAATGATAAAAATAATTGAAACTCGGCAGACAAATATATCCAGATAAGTTACTACACTTGTCTTTAGCACGATCAAAATTTGCGGCATAAAATTGTATAAATAAAGAAACACATAGCATCTCCACTAACCAACCATTTAGGAATGGCAAATGCCGACCCCACTGGTAGAATTGTAAATTACCTTCTTTTTTAGTGCTCGAATCTTTTTATCAATATCTTGAACTTTCTCCGAGGGAGTTGCACACTCATTTACTGTATCCGAAGGTGCAACCACTGAGGCACTACCGGAAAGAGAAAGGCCATTCATCTTTGATGCAACGGAATCAACATTTTCTGGCAAGTCAGCCGAAGAGTCAGCAGGAGATGTATCATTTTGTTCCGAACTTTTACCCATGTCTAGAGCAGCCTGATGAAAAAAACGTATGAAATTAGAGATATAGCATAAAAATTAGATTTTTTTAGGATTTAGTCAGCATGGGATATGCAAGCAGAATAGTGGAGTCCTTCCACTGGAACACAAATTTCTATCCCAAGTAAAACATAACAAAAAGAAGAATAACCACTTTTTAATATTTTATTTTAACGTTAATTATTTTATTTTATTTTAAATACATTTAATATACACACTAACAACTAACCATACCACTTTTTTCAAATTTAACCAAACAAAATAAAAAAATCCAAACAAATTAGAACATCTTATATCCAAGCATTCCCTAAGTTATTGTGAAAGCTCCCACGCGAAGCAATATATGTGAACAGAAGTAATGCACAAGGTATTATCATATATGTAGACACGCACACACACTAGTATACACAGTACATCACAGAGTATTATGTCTATCACTTTAAAACCTACACATTACACACAGTCGCAGTGAATATGTGAAGTAAGTGCACAGGCATATTGCACAAAGTAATAACATACATAAACACACACACACACACACACTAGTATACACAGAACATCATACAACATTATGTCTACATCACTTTAAAACTACATTTATACAAGCAATGGTTATATGATTAAAGGGATATAATATTTTAAATTAATTAAAGAATGTGTGCCATTTAAATGGAAATAAAGAACAATCCAATGATCCAATGATCAAAAAGGCACGAGGCACCAAGTGCGTTCTATTGCCTAGGCACTTCGATATAACAATTACGTGGGTGTCTATCAATAGTTCCCGACAAGAAAAGAAAAACCAAAAATTTCAGAGCTAGCAGAAAAATCTCAAGCCCAGCAGGAAGAAGGGAAGGGGGAAAATTGGAATCTGCCACAACTATATGAAAAAATATTAGAAAACAAGAAAAAACTGATTCTGCCGACAGCAGCTCCAGAAACGTCAGTTGGTAACATCAGCCAACATCACTGCTGGAGACAAAAAGAAATGCCAGGAAAAAAAATACTTGCCAACAGTTTTAGTGCCACAAAACTCGTGCAATCGGGTAGCAATTGGCAGAAGAAGAAATCCCATGCCTCATCTAGGGTTTAGTTATGAACAAGATCTATTTTTGTGCACTTTTAAACTAGAAAATCCACAAGAATGGCCCTTTAATTTAGTGTTTCGCCTCTTTTGGGTTTGAAGAACGACTCGAGCACCAATGTCTTGTGTGAGGCGGTGCCTTTTGGAAAGGCACCTCGTGGCCTCTCCTCACCCAGGCAGTTGGGCTTTGTACACCATGCTTTTTATTAGATCGGCGACTTCTTAATCACTAAAAACAAACATCAAATAAGATTTTCCACTATTACCATCATCTGTTCTCGAATGACTGTAATGCAACCAAATTCTCCTGATATAATTACAAATGAGATGGGACTGCACCCAGCATTCCGTATCTTGCATGCCATCTTTTCAACCTATTGCATATATACAAAACTTCCCAAACATTTCCTCTAGATCAATAAATTCCTCACTTAATTGCTCCGCAATCTAATGAAGAATTTGAAATTTTCAGCGGATAACCTCGATTGCCATATACTTTGTTTGTGCACCATTGTCCGATAGAGATAATCAATAAGCCCAAACACTTTGATATTTACCAAAACTAAAGGAATATTCATTCATATATAACTTCCTCAGATACTTTCAAGATTCTTGCTAACTAGAAGAACACTACTAAGCGACATTCAATAGAAAACTCAACATAACCAAAAAAAAAAAAAAAAAAGCGATGGCATTTCATTGGAAACTGACTAAATAAATAAGAGTCAGACATCGATAAATAAAATGAAGAATGGATTGTTCATCGACCTGCTGGCGCTTCCCTTTTTTCCTCTCATTCCTCTTAGCTGCTTTGGACTTCGGTTTAGTCTCCTCTACCGGTTCATATCCCGGCGGCACCTCCTGAATAGCCGCCATCTCCTTCTTCCACTGTCACACATTTCAATAACACAGATTTTTAGAAACCTACAACAACAAAAGCCTTCGTACCTGAAGAAAGCATAAGTCACTCACGATTGCGCCTCTCGATTGGTAAATGGCGACCTCGTCCTGGGGAGTGTAGCCGGCACGAATCCGAATAGGCTTGCGTAGGGACCCGTCGGGCCGGCGGGTCGGGCCGAGGATCCTCTCCCCATCTTTTAGGGTTCTGCCCAGCTCCGCCGTCAACTGCGTGGCGTCCTCCGCCTCCCCATCAGCGTTGCTCCCCATGCCTGGTTATAGTGTTTGATCGTTTGAGGGTGTGAATAATTTGGTGAATGAATGATTCCTTAGTTAGAGGGCGAATTGATTATGTTGGCCATCGGTTATGGGAATTTAACAGTATCATAATCGATTGAAAACTGAGAGAAATTGTGTTCCTTTGAGAATTGGGTCAATGGGCCAGATCAAATTTTTTGGGCCTCTCACGGAAGAGCTAGGACGACGATTGAAAATAGAGGAATTTGCTACCCATATTATCAACGGATAATGTCAGAAATTCTATGGCACCACATGTGGCACCATATTATAGTGCCACAACATGATGTGGTATATTATGATTGGTGCTACAACTATCACACATCATGTTGTGGCACCAATTATAATGTGTCACATCATGTTGTGGTATCATAATATGGTGCCACATGTGGTGCCATAGAATTTCTGCGGATAAAGCTCACTCCTTATCCACGTTGGACACATGTTAATATGTCCACGCTTATATTAGACATTAACTATTTATTTTTAAATTAACTATTTATCTTTAAAGATGCAAAACCACTTCTTCTTCTTCTTCTTCTTCTTCTTCTTCTTCTTCTTCTTCTTCTTCTTCTTCTTCTTCTTCTTCTTCTTCTTCTTCTTCTTCTTCTTCTTCTTCTTCTTCTTCTT